GGTGACACCAAGCCAAGGGTTGCAATCCCCTTACCGGTCACAAAAAGGACAAAAAAAAAAATTGCCCAACCAGAGCCAGGGAACTGTCATAATAAATACTGGTAATTTGAATCCTTACTGAAGAATCCACATAGGCTTTATGTTACTAAAACATTTTAAAAGCCTATATTCTTTGTTTTCATCAGTTCCATAGAACATACCTTTTACACTCTAAAACGCTCCTCTGGAGCATCACATTTGAGAGTAATTGACTAAGGCCAAGAAGAACAAAACTGAGATGCCCTACTCAAACCTCAAAATACACTCATTTCTTCAGTTAGCCCCTCTACAGGCCTTGACCACTTCTGCCATGATCTCTTCTCTTGTCTGAACCTTTGTAAAACTTGTTACTTGAACTACAAGCTATTGTTTGATACAATGTAAGCGTAAAATACTAGTATCACCCTCAAAAGAACTATAAGGGCTTCGAAGGTAGTCCATGTTTTTCTTTATCTTGGGTCTCAGTCCCACCATCTCCCATAGTTTGAACAAGTTTATATGGGATATCCCTTAGAAGAGCCATAAACAACTGACAGTGGTACGTAGTCAGTGCAAAGAAAAGCAAATTCTCTCTCATGCCAAGAGGAACTATTCCAGATACTTCAGGGGACATCTGACCTTGAATATCCCAGGGGCATCTCAACCCAACAAGCCTTTTCACCCTCAAAGCTGCTCTTTTCCCTGCAATCCTTGTGAGTAAATGGCAGCACCATCAATTCAGATACCAAATCATGTCAGTTCTACCTCCTTTACAGTTGTGGATCCACTTTCTTCTCTTCAGTGTTACTGTATTAGTTTTGAAATCATAATCTATTCTATTTTAGCAACCTTCTAAATATCCCCTCTGCCTCACCTCCATATTTCCAGCCTAAAATCCATTCCCTAAAATGCAATAGTGCAGTAGTTAAGTACAAGAACAAAGGAGTTGTACATGCCTTGATATGAATCCCATCTCACTAGCTGTGTGAACTTGGGTTATTTTCTAAACCTCTCAGCCTCAGTTTCTTCATTGCTGATGGAGTTTGGATGTATCGTCCTCCCAGAACTCATGTAAATCTGATCTCCAATGTAGCAGTTTGGGTCATGGGGGCGGATCCCTCATGAACGGTTTAATGCTCTCCCTAGATGGGGGGATTAATGGGTATTGCTGATGGAGTTTGGATGTATCGTCCTCCCAGAACTCATGTAAATCTGATCTCCAATGTAGCAGTTTGGGTTCATGGGGGCGGATCCCTCATGAACGGTTTAATGCTCTCCCTAGATGGGGGGATTAATGGGTGAGTTCTTGCTCTATTAGTTCCTACGAGGGCTGGTTGTTTAAAAGACCCTGGCACCTCTCTCTCTCTCTCTCTTTCTCTCTCTCTCTCTCTCTCACGCACACGTGCTTCCTCTCGCCATGTGATCTGCTTGTACCTACTGGCTGCCTACTGCTTTTCTGCCATGAGTAGAAGCAGCCTGAGACCCACACCAGACGCAGCTGTACCAGAATCATAAGCCGAATAAGCCTCTGTTCTTATATAATTACCCAGTCTCAGGTATTTCTGTTATACCAACACAAATGGACTAACACAATTGCTAAAGTAGAAAGAACAGCACTGTAATGGTTGACATGGGAATTAAATAAAGTAATACCTGTAAAGTATTGTTAACAGTACCGGACACATAGAAAGGCTGGATTATGTATGTAGAGGGAAGAGCAAGGAAAGAGTGGAGGGGACATATTGGCTGTGTCAAGGGCCACAAAAGTCACATGATAAATATAATGTAAAATCCTAAAGTATTAGTTCATCTTGAAGATTTGAGAAAACATATCAAAATAAAGATATATCATGGCACGTAATTCAAAACTTGCATAAATACTTAAGATAAAACAAGATTCCAACAAAAATTTTGTCTTGGGAGGTTGGAGTTCTTCAGAACATGCCTCCTAGACGCCCTGGGGAGTACAAATTCTCTTTCCTTCCCTATATGGCTCCAGACTTTTCTGGAACCCTTGTATGTATTCAATAAATGATATTATTCAGTCCCTCTCCAGTTAAAAATCGTCCAGTGGCTCCCCACTGCCCTCAGGATAAAGCCTGAACAATGAACAGTGATGTACGGAGCCCTGGTTTACCTCTCCAACTCATCTGTCTCTACTCCCGGCACGCAAGGTCCATGGCACTGCAGTCACCAAGACTCCTATACTTCACCTCCCTCATCGCTAGACTTTAGTGTCCCTAAATCCTCCTTTCCCTTGGCCAACTCCTTCAGTCCTGTCTCAGATAAGCATCATTTCCTCTGGCATGCCTCCCCTGAGTCCAACTCCTTTCTTCCCAGTGCTGGGCTAGCAGCCTCCAGTGTGCTCCCGTGACACTTATCACTCTGCCCGGGTTACCTGCCCACGTCTCTTCTACCGAACTGCTGAGCTCGGTGAGGAAAGGGGTGGTTGGCTATTCCACTGTTATTTAGACGCTCAGTGAAGACTCTGAATTAAACTCATGAATGCCGGTCTTTCGAACTGGAAGGACCCAAGCACAACAATCCTTTCAGCACGAACTCAACTGCGATCCCTTCTCTGCCTTGGGCGGGGAAGGGCCTTAGGATAGGTCACTGCACTCTGAACCTATCCATCTGTTAGGGTCTGACAAAAGGCAGGCTGACCGGAGGGGACGCCAGCTTCGAAATACAGTCCAGGGACACGTTTCCAGGAACGACTAACACGCCAGTCACGATATGCCCAGCGGAGACGAGCAGCTCTGACCACGCCGAGCCTGGAGGAAGCGCCTCACCACCCCCCTCCCCCGCCAATCCAGCTCTGCGCACGCGCAATAGCGCCGCAGCGCAGGAGGCTGCCACCCGAAGGGCGGAACAGTCCTCGCGGAGCAAGCGCGTGGGTTGGCCCACGCCCCCTCAGAGAGGGTGGTGGCCCAGGGAAACCGCCGGTATTTCCCCGAGCCCTCTCACGAAAAGTGCAGCCTCCAGGCAGGCGTGCGGCCCCCGACCCCCAATTCCGCTTCTTCCTCTTCCGTCTTAGAGCGTCTCCTCACCCGCACTAAGCACGCCGTCCTCAGGAAGGCCCCGCTAACAGCAGAGTCGGCACAGAGGCGCCTTCCGCAGGTCCTCTCCGCCGGCCTGGAGCGCCGGGCAGCTGCCTGCAGGATACCGGAACCGGTCTCGCGGCAGCACCGGAAGTCCCGCCTCCCCCGGTTCCAGCTGCTCAGGATTCCCTCCCGGGCCGGGAAGCCGCTACCCCGTGTAGTCCCCAGGCTGGCCCGCCACAGAGGAGAAGGTGAAGTTGTTGCTGAGACCTGCCCTTGCAAGGGCGCGGCCTGCTTGTCCAGGTGCACGAGGAAAAACAAAACCTGTGGCTTTGTCCAGTAGCTATTTCCCATTCCACAGCACCATTGTTTGTTTTTTATTAAATCAAAATTTATTATACATATTTTTGGGGTTCAACGTTGACGTATGTTGATCAAATCAATATTACTAGCATATATATTGTTACAAGTCATACTTATTCTTTATGCCTCTTGTCCAATCTCACCCCCTCCCCCTGCTCCTCCCCCTTCTAATTACCCTAGATTTCTTTTCTCCTTCTGAAAGAATAATGGTTACTCTGTTGATTTGTTGCCTAGATGATCTGTCCAGTGCTGAGAGGTGTGATCAAGTCCCCCATATTATTGTAGAGCAGATGCTTCTTCTGTCACTCTGGGATAGGCTTTGTGGAGAGAGACGTCCTCTTCTTTTCTTTATCTCTGCTGGTGACTCTCCTTGTGTCGATGTACTCCAGTGGCTGGTGGACCATTTGCATGGTGGTTGTGGCGTCTGGCCACTTTCACAGCAGCCATGGTTATTGTGGTGGGCCATCTACTTGGAGATGATGTTTTTGGCATGCTCCTTGGCGTAGGCAGTGTGCCTGGTTGTGGGAGGGGGGTCCAGTCCCCTTCTCCATGCCTCGGGTCCATGGGCAGGCCCCAAGGCACTGGCACAGTGTGCTAGGTTGTGGGAGGGGGGTCTGGTCCCCTTCTCCATCCCTTGTGTCCCTGGGCAGGCCCCAGGGCACTGGCACAGTTCACCAGGTTGTGTTTGGGGGTTCCAGTCCCTGGATCCATGCCTTGGGTCCCTGGACAGCCCCCAAAGTGCTGACAGTGTGCCTGGTTGTGGGAGGTAGTTCTGGTTCCTGGCTCCATGTCTCTAGTCCCTGGGCAGGCCCCGAGGTACTGGCGCAGCATGCCTGGCTGTGGGATGGGGGTCTGGTTCCCTTCTCCATGCCTTGAGTTCCTGGGTGGGTACCAGTGTGGTATGCCAGGTTGTGGGAGAGGGGTCCAGTCCCTGGCTCCAAGCCTCAGGTCCCTGGGCAGCCCCCGAGGCACTGGCACAATGTGCCTGGTTGTGGGAGGGGGGTCTGGTACCTGGCTCCATGCCTCACATCCCAGGGTGGATCCAAGGCACTGGCGGTGTCTCTGAGCCGGAACTAATTTTTTTGTCCTTTGCTTTCTCTAAAGTGGGGGAACTTCTTGTGGGGACCAGTATTTGAGCTCTGTGGTTTAGCTAAATTGCTGCTTTGCTGCTGCTTCCCTAGGGAAGGCTTTTTGTGCAGCTCAGGTTGACTTTGTACTTCTGGCTCTCCAGAGACTTGGTGCACCTGGGTTGTGTAGTAACTCTGATCTGGGCCTGAGTCTTTTCATCACACTGCACCCCATGCAATTCTATATTCCTGACCAGTCTCCTCTGAGTGGTCCTGTGCTGATTGGGGTGCAGATCAGTTATGCTTGCTGTGCCCCACTGTTCCCCCTGTGGGCCCGTCTCTCCCACTGCCCATGCTGCAAACACTTCCCATGGGACGGGCCATACACTGGTCCCTTGTGATGACTCACCAGCCTCTGAGTGGCTCCATTTTTTCAGTTGTTGTGGCTCCTCTCTCCTATGTGGGTCCACAGGAACGCTATTAGTGGTCTTGCTGGCCTGGGAGCCACCAAGGCCCTCTTCTCCCCTGACACTTCCAAGCAACTCCATCCAAAGGGCACAGCTGCAGCTTTGCCAGCTCCTGCTCTGTGTGCTCAGCAGTTCAGTGTTAAAGCAGCCAGCACAAAATGGTTAGAGCAGTTTTTTTCTTTCTCTCATCATGGCTTCTCTAACCTTCATGCACTCTGTAGGTCTCTCCTTTTCTTCCCCTGAGCTGTAGCTGCCCCAGCTTTGCTGTTCTTTTTTATATAGTTGTAAATTGGTTGATTTCTGGGAGAGAGTGACGCTGGGGACCGTCTGTTCCACCATCTTGACCGGAAGCCCAATTTTCTCCACAGCACCATTGTTGAATCAAGTATCACTGAGTAACTTTCTTTGCCTCTACCCTGCGTCACTCCACCACTTCTTGTTCATTCTCTGGGGGTAACTCAAGAAGTCATCTACTTAATGCTGTCCTTCAAACACCCAATCTCTGACGTCATCATTTCCTCCTTAGCTGCGTGAGTAACTTTGGGCATTTCTTGCTGTCTCCATCAAACACTACCTCAGGCAGCAAGGTCTCTGCTTCCCACCTTGCCTCTTTCTCTCAGAGCTTCCAGAGGTCTTGCCCACTTGTTCCTAGGGGGGCAATATCTTAGTACACATAGAACCACCTCCCTCACGTCCCCTCCCACATGTTGGGAGTCTCTACTTGTCTCTTGATCCGAATAAAATATTTAGATCCAAGTAAATGTGAATGCACAGATAGTCATTCTTATGAAGTCACTGTAAACAATGACTAAATGAATAACTTTCTGGAGCAGTCTGATATAATAGGATACACACTCTGGTTACACATATGAAATCCCTTGACTGGAACACCATCCAACGCCTCCTCTGCTCAGTGCTGCAGTCAGCCACATTGTGAGCTGTAACCCTTTCTGTCCCCTGGACTAGGGGTTGTCTGCTTTTCCCCCGACTGGGTCTGAAGTCATTTTTTTCTTATATTTGTTTAGTGTGAGTTTTTTGTGTGAGGGCCTAATTGGCTGAAGGAAAAGGAACCTGTTCCTAGTTTCCCCTCCTGAGCCAGATGAGATTAAGATACCACCAAAGAATTTTAAGCAAGTGGGTAATATAAGACATGCATTTTTCTAAATGCTTTCGCTGGCTGCAGTATGGAGAATGGATGGGAGGGGTGCCAAAATGGATAAGAATGGATAAGAGGGGACTGTGGGGCTCCAAGAGAGATGCTTTAACTAGAGGGAATGGAAACAAAGCAAAGAGGACAAATTCAAGAGATCTTTAGGAGGCAAAATGGTCAAAAATTGGTGATAGATTAGAATGGGAGTAGGGGAGAAGAAGACCTCACGATATGTTCCAGGATTGAGCAATTGGGTGGTGTAACTGATGTCATTCACAATTATGTGGCATAATGGGACAGGACTAATGGCTTCCTCACCAAAAGACTCATCAAATTGCTCTGATTCCCAAAAAACAGAATGAGTAAAGCAGGAATGGGACCTCAATAGGGAGGGGCTAAATTCAGAAAAAAGATGGGGCAAAAATCCAGAGGAGGAGTGGAGACACAAAACAATATCTGAACTGAAACAAAAACAGTAGGATTCCAAAACTTATACCCTTGGACATAGCCCACTAGGTGTCCCAGGTCCATGCACAAAATGTTTTCACAGTATCTGACATCTAATGACCAGTCAGGGACCAAGGAAAATTTTAGCAAAAAAGAATTCCATTTTGCTTAGTATCAAAATTTTATTTTGGTAATACTTTTTAAACTAATAAATCAATGAGAAGGTGTTTTACTTCACCAAAAAATATTTTATTTCAGGAGAACATCTCTTTGGTAGAGGTACATCTAGAATCAAAGGTTAGTAATCTGGAAAAGATGTGTATAAACCATCAGGACCAGACTTCTGCTCTGAAACAGTTACTGATCAACTTTATAGATAAGGCAACCAAAAACTACTGAGGTCTTAGGAAGTATACTTGCCTAAGTCACATGCTAAAAGGTTTTGCTCACATATTAGAAATATCCTGCCTCCTACTTTTTACTGTTCAAATATACTGCTTTCTCTTGAGTCGTTTCATGTGTACATACATACCTAAACACAAGTGACTGCATACACGTATAGAGCACAGATCACATTACCTACTCTTACTGAATCTAAAGCAGGGATTTTTTTTAAAAAGATACTTGCTAGCCATGTTTTTGAAAATTTAGGGTTTTGTGGAAGTGCCTCGGGAAGCTTGACAAGAGTGGGGTGGAGACTGAACAGTGGGCTTTTGGGCCCCAGCCCTGCTTCAGCTAAAAATAAATAAATGGACCTCATCTCATGTTTTAGATATTGGGGTATTCCAGTCCTATGTTAGAATTCCTTTGAAAATCTGGTTCTGCTGTTAACAATCAAAGTTTGCAAGTCACTGCACTCGATTAAGGACTAGGGTAAGAATTTGGTTAATATCTATTGACTAGAGCCCAGACCCTTTGCAACAGTTCAGAGGAATACAGACAAAGGGCTAGAATACATAAGGACCATAAATATCATGGATATTTGAAGTCCAGAATGATCACGAATTGTTAATCCTGAGAATGCTCAAGGAGAAAGATGTAGGCAGGCAAAAAGGCACTTAAGTTATCATCTACTAAAATAAGATACTATGGTCAGTGAATCACAACTGCTCTGGGGAAACCAGGGCTAAAGTGTGAAACCTTCACACTTCCCTTCAGCCACATTAAAACTAGAACTGTGTAAGTGGCCTTAAGAGATTAAATATTTTGATGTTCAGTGTTTCACTTTCTGCAGAACTGCTTTACTTCGAATACTCTGATCCTACCCTGCTCTGACTGCTCCCCAGTGGAGTGTGGACTTGGACAATATCCTAGCACTATATTAACATGAAGGTGTGTTGTAATGCCTTACATGAAAAATGGCACCAGACCAAGATCTCTCTTTTCTTTTCAAAATTTTATATGGCTCATGGTGTGTGGGTGAATGGAGTGCCCTCAATGAACTGTTTCTTTTGAATCTGTTCAATGGCTCAAACTCGGACACTGGCATTATTGGCTCTCTGTAAGGCCAAAAGAACATTGCCTATAATTACCAAATGTTACTCACATGAGGCAAGTAATCAACTAAGAATCCCTGGTATATTCCCTTGGTACAGCTGCAAGTTCACAGCCCAAAGATCATCCATTTCTAACTCAGGCATAGCTGATGGGTATTCAATACCTGCTCCCTAGTTTTAGAAGTAACTTAAGTCATGGAATAAATATTGCACATGAGTCCTCTTGATATATGTCAGCAATTCAGTTAATTCACTGAAGAAAAAAATGGACTGTTTACTTCATTAAATCTATATGCAGCAGTTTTACAGCAAAGAACATATATAAGAGGCTTTACACACAAAATGGAAATTAATGCAGTTAACATTGACAGGCTTATACTAAAGTACAAAAACAAATGCTCGACTTGGAAATTCAACTTTATTTACAAATGTTCTCCTATAAACACCATTCCACATTTTAAAATATTACAACTGAATTTCCACAAAAACCATTTACATAGTTTTTACCTTTCTGCATACAACTGTATTATGGGATGAGCAAATAACCTCACAAGATGGTCTAAGACATAAAAACAAAACAAAATAAAAAAAACCTTATCCAGCATGAATGCTCTATTTACAGACAGAATGAAGAATTAAGAATCATACCCCTTAATGGGCTATTCTACCAAGAAATGGAAATGTGATAATTTGGAGGGGGGTAAATGCTTCACAATAAACAATCTTCTTATGTAGTATAGTTTAATTGTGTCATTTAGGATTGTTCTTGCAGGCTAATATGTATGCTGATTTAAAAAAAATAAGTCACTGTAAAAAGGGCACAAACTTTTCTACACAGATTTCTCTACCAATGAAAATATGTAGATACTGGTCTTGTTTCATCATTGAGGCCAATTAGTAAAGTAACAAATCCATGCAAAACAAAACAAAACACAAACACAATTATCATGTGACTGACTTAGAAAATTAGAACCTCCCTGAAATCAGAGAGTATTGCTACTCAACAGTGTCTATAAATTCAAATTCCTTATAGCCAAGACAACATATAGACAAAATATTTAACCAAAGAGTTCAAAATAAAATTATCCAAATTACCTACTTATCACTTTATATGTAATTACTTTTAAAAAATCCTTTAAGTTTTATCTAGGGGGATAATCACTCTCATGTGATAGCTAAGTCACAAGGAACTTCAAAACTTTGGAAAAAAATTCATCCCTGAGAAGTGAAACATAGAAAAATATCTAAAGAAAAACCAGAAGCAACAGTCCTATACCCTTTAAACAATCTTTACCATAATATGGACTATTATTAACAGTCAGCAATCAAATACATTCCAATCTTGGAGAGTTACTGTCTCTGATGATCTGATCTTTTTGTAATGAAATTACAAGTGCAACATTAAAAAAAATTAGATAAATGGGAACTCTGGTTTTATTGTCAGCTTTACATTTTTTTTTCAAGTGCAAGACTGGCCTGCTAAGATATGAATATTCCAATAATGACTGAAGTCATAACTTCTGCTCGCATCTCCTCTTCTGAGTCTCCATTTCCCTCATTGATGTTCACCCAAATAATAAAAGTAATACAATTGCAATTGAGTTTACTATTATCAATGGCACTGCAAAGAAAAAAAAAGGTTGTTACTATAAAGACAACTTGAGAAAAAAACTAAACAACAGTTACTAGCATCCACGAAGGATAGGAATATCTAACAATATATTATCATAATCATGTTGTAAATAGATATAACAACAGAAGAACATTAAAAAATGCACTGGATCACAAAATCCAAAACTGATTTTAAAGAGGGCTTGTATAACTAGGATTAAGTGTCATGTTGGCACAACTACATCAACGTGAAACAACTCTGGATAGTACTGGTGCAACTCTGGAAACACAAAAGCACACTGGACCCAGGCAGAAATAGATCCACATGGCTGCCAGTGATGCTTGAGATTAGAAATACAGTGCAAAGAAGATTCTGTAGTCTCATAACTAAATTAAGAATAAGTTTATTTAGCACTGTATCCAAAGTTGTGAGTAAAGTAGTTTTAAAAAGAGAGAAGAGGCCCTAATTTTAATGGTTTTAAATAACAGGTTTTCAAACTCTTCTTTATTGAATACTCCAAAATATTTTCCAGTAGAATTGCAGATATGGGATCTTTATTTTTCTCTTGAGAGCCTTCCAGGACTCTAGATGACTTTACAACGTGGAAGAAACAGAGTTTCCAAAAGGCAGGAATATCTGTCTTTCAGCTTTGACAGATAACACACAAATTATACTACTGAGCAGTCCATTTGCATCAACTGTCTTAGACAGAAAGAGGCGAACTAAGAAAAAAACCACTTTCAGCAGTGAAGCTGCAATTAAGCCAGGTTAAACCAAAAAGAAAAAAAAAAACCCTCACAGAAAGGCTATGTAATAGTATTCACACGCTGAAGCTTTGCTACTTACATTGAACCACAAAATTAAAATTTCAGGGTGCTTGTATGAGTTTTTCTTACCTCTCATCACAGTTCTTACAGATCGAATAAGGTTCATTAGCTGAGATTTAATTCCTGGCTCTTCTCCGAATCCACCAATTCCCTGGTCTGTTCCCCAGCCAACTGAATAATATAAAATGATTAGCATTTATTTATTATGCACTTGCCTTGCTCCCTCGTTAGCCATCTTTTAAAAGTTAGGCTTAGCCCTCGTTAGTGACATAAAATATAAAATAAGACATAAGAAAAGTTAATATTGAGTTAAATATGTATGGATTTTTTTTAACTTCTGATAGAAGCAACAAACCTCTTTTCACTTCATTTACACTCTGATTTTATAAAATAAACTACAGTTTAAATTATTCCATGGCATTTAATTCAGTGAAGATGACTGCTGTGACGCCTGATTTTTTTTCCCTCCTTTTTAAAAATACCAAACAAAAAACTTCTCAGCTCGGATTGAAAACCAAAGTATATTATCAAGTTGAATAATTAATTAGCTCAATTCAGAATTTATAAAAGCCAACAATTATTATTATTATTGTTGTTATTATTTTTTTTTTGCAGCTGGCTGGTACAGGGATCAAACCCTGAATCTTGGTGTTATCAGCACCACACTCTAACCAACTGAGTTAACCGGCCAAACCCCACTTGGGGAAATTTCACAGCTTGCTCTGGCCTGTCATCAGAGCACATCTTTTTCACTTTTACCTTGATCATTCCTCTTCATTTCTCAATTTTGCCCAAGAAGAAAGACTTCAGATACTGACATTTGAGAAGCCTCACGTCAATGAAATAGCCAACTTCCACATTCACCTTATAGTGAGGCCCACCAGTAAATAAGCCAGTAAACATAAACATGGAGTCTACAATAAGCCTTTCAGTTCCTTACACTTAAAAATAAACTGACAGTCAAGAGGGAACAATTCTTAACAGGGAAAGACCAAAAAATAGAAAAAAAGACTTTGGGGAAGAGACAATGAAAGAAGTAGAGAAAACATTTTAAAAAATTAACATCCTTAGAGAAAAGCTATTGTAACTATGAAACAAGAATAGGATATCATAAAAAAGGAATAGTCAGGGATCAAAAAGGGAGCTCCTGCTGTTAGGATAAAAAGTACAAAAAAGTGGGTTGAGGGCCGGCCCGGTGGTGCACTGGATAGTGCGCCGCTTGGGAAGCGCGGTGGCGCTCCCGCCCGAGGGTTCGGATCCCACATACGGACCGGTGTGGCTGAGCGAGGCATGGGAGCAACACCGAGGGTTGCGATCCCGTTGCCGGTCCCCGGTCCGGTACGGGGGCAACACTGAGGGTTGCGATCCGTTGCCGGACATGGAAAAAGACAAAAAGACAAAAAAAAAAAAAAAAAAAAAAAAAAAAAAAAAAAAAAAAAAAGGGGGTTGAAAGATCAAGTTAAAGTAAACTACCAGACAAGACAAAATTAAAGAAAAAAAGAAAAATAATTAGAGTATCAATTTCTCAAAATAACCAGACTTCTAGAAAGAGATAAGAAAAAACACACGGGAAGAAATCATCACAGAAATATTTAAAACAAACAAACAAAAATCTCAGAACTGAAGAACACAAGGCTTTTGGCTAGAAGGGCCCTATCAGAACACAGACCAATGAATTAAAAAAGACCCTCATGTTGGAACATTATCATAAAACTTCAGACCCCTAAAGATAAAGAGAATATTCTAAAGGCTTAGATGAATTAGGTTATCTACAAAGAGCCAGAAAACAAAATGGCTTTAGACTTCTTAATAGCAACATTGGAAATGAGAACATTAAATGGAACAGTGTCTTTAAAACTCTGAAAAAAAATTAGTTACAATCTAGAATTCTATACCCATACCACAAATTAATTAGAATAAAAGTCATTATTTTTTATTGTCCAGCTGTGAGCAATATTCAAAGTGATAGTTGTGTAAATATGGAATACTGATAAAACCAATAGTGGTTGGTATCCTTTTACTGTAACAAATAGTTTTTCTTCCAACTACTACACAGGGAATCTCAATTGTTTTCCTCAGAAACCTGACCAATGCTTTAAGAGTTTTGCTTCTTTTTTAAAAAAAGAGAATGATTTAATTCTCTGGCTTTCCTGTTACTTACATAGCTAGAGGGCCTAGCAGAAAACAAATGAGATGCCCAGCCAGCATAATTTCACAAAATTACACCCAGCTATAATTTCAAGAACAAACTTAAACAGAAAAAGTTACTAACTGCAAACACCAAACATGTTCTTCAAGAAGTCAGACACAAAATGGCCATCCATTAAGGCTCAGTCAAAAACCCCCAGCTAGATACATTTTGAAGAAAAACTATTTTCTACAGTTTTAAGGGATGCCTGACCCTAAGTAAATCAGCCTCTCAGAACAGTTTCTGTATCTATAAAAGAGAATGAATGTGATGTAGTTTGTCAATGTCACCAAGTTTGCATGTGAATCAAATGCTATCATAAATATGAAAGTACCAAATAATAAACTACACAAAGAATTTTGCTAACATAAGTTTTTAAAAACTGCCTTCATCAAAAAGATCAATGCTGAAGTTCAGGCAAAACTCTCCATATTGCATTTCGCTTTACTGTGCTTTGGAGATACTGCATTTGTTACACATTGAAGATTTCTGGCAACCCTACATCAAGCAAGTCTATCGGCACCATTTTTTGAACAGCATGTGCTCACTTCATGTCTCTATGTCATATTTTGGTAATTCTCACAATATTTCAAAGTTTTTCATTATTACTATATCTGTTATGGTGATTTGTGATCAGTGATCTTTGATGTTACTACTGTAATTGTTTTGTGGTGCCATGAACCACACCCATATAAGATGGTGAACTTAATCGAGAAATGTGTGTGTTCTGTCTGCTCCACCAACCAGCCATTCTTGTTTCTCTCACTCACCTCACGCCTCTCTACTCCCTGAGACACAATAAAATTAGGCCAATAAATGACCCTTCAAAGACCTCTCAGTGTTCAAAAGAAAGGAAAAATTGTTCATCTCTCACTTTAAAATTAAAAGCTAGAGGCTGGACAGTTAGTTATTAGCTCAGTTGGTTAGAGCACAGTGTTATAACACCAAGGTCAAGGGCTTGGATCTCCATAGTGGCTAGCCACCAAAAAAAAGAATTAATTAAAAGCTAGAAATGATTAAGGTTAGTGAGAAATGCATGTCAAAAGCCAAGACAGGCCGAAAGCTAGGTCTCCTGTGCCAGTTAGCCAAGTTGTGAACGAAAAGGAAGAGTTCTTGAAGGAAATTAAAAGTGCTACTCCAGTGAACCCAAGAATGCTAAGAAATTGAAACAGCCTAATTGCTGATATGGAGAAAGTTTCAATGATCTGAATAAAAGATCACATCAGCCACAACATTCTCTTAAGCCAAAGCACTTAAGAACAATCTCACAAACATAAGATAAAGTAAAATTTTATGATACCTCCTATTAAGGCCATATGTTTACAAAGGGTAAGATCTGTATCTCACACAATCACACAAACAGTGTGACTCTCCATAGAACTATGTAAAATGACTATTACTCTGAGAGTACTTAAATATGAAGGTAAGGTCATTAATTAAATAAATCTACAAGTATTTATTTTTGACTAAGTACTAAGTATTATGCCTTTTTACTTGTCCTTTAAGATAAGTCAGTACCACTGTAAAACATACCGTACTTCTTTTTGGAAACCAAAGGTTTATTAAGAGAAGTAGAAGATGACTCAGAAAATAGGGTGAAACAAAGCTATCAATTGGCTTATTGCGCAACTGGAAGTGCTCCACTTCTGAAATATGAAATTGAATTAAGTGATTACTGTTGGAAAAAAAAATCACACCCCCCAAACCAATAACAGCACAAATTCACTGTTGCCTTCCCCAAAAGGGCTCTCTACACTGCCTAGTAACCCAACTCTGTTTTAAGTTACCTCCTTCTTCCTCTGTGTATGATCACTGCATTTCAAACCTTCCACCTTGTTTCTCAGTTTCAGCAAATGGACTCATTTCCTTCATATAGATTTTTTAGAGAGAAAATATGTATCTGCTAGATATTCATTTATTGTAGCTACCCAGCAACTGAACTTCATACCATATTTATGAGTTTTGGAGAGGCCCAAAGACTATTTCTCTCCCAGATGAGCTGAAAAAGCTAAATATGTACTTCTCCAGCTTCCCTTGCAGCTAAGACACAGATATTTGAACTAGTTTTCACTAATGCCCATCTAATACCTAGACATGACCACACCAGACTGACTCAGGAAGTAGTGATGTCAGAGGAACAGGACTGAAACACCTTCTGTCTGGTGGCAGCAGCCATAGTAGGGGCAGAAAAGCCTAGTTCTCAGTAAAGAAGTAGCATCAATGCATTTGGATGTTTTTCCTAGAAGCTGAGCCTTAAGCCTTGAGCCTTGTTCTCTAGCCCTGTCAACATTTCTGCAAGATAGCCGGTATCTTTTTCAAAGAAATTAAATATAATATCTATACAGAAAAGTACCTAAGTCGTAAGTATATTTCCTGAAGAATTATCACAAAGTGAATATGTCCATGTAACCAGCATCCAAATAAAAAATAAAGCATCACTAATCACCCCAGAAACCTCACTTATACCCTCTTCCAGTCATTCCTCCCTGACTTATAACACCATATATTAGTTGTGCCTATTTTTAAACTTTATATATAGGAATCATCCAGTATGTATTCTTTTGTGTCTGCCTTCTTTTGCTCAATATTGTGGCAGAGTCATGCATATTGTTTTGTACAGCCATAGTTCATTCCTTTTCATTGTTGTGTAACATTCTACTGTATGAAAACAACAATTTATCCATTCTACTGTTCCAAGTTTTGGTTACTATGATTATGCTGCTATGAACATTCTTATACATGTCTTTTAGTGCACATATGAGCATTTGTGTAGAAGTGAAACTGTAGGGTCAGAGAGGATGTGTATGATGAACTTTAGTAGATACTGCCAAAAAATTTTTGCAAAGTTGTTGCACCAATTTATACTTCCATCAGCAGAGTATGAGAGTTCAAACAGTTCTACATCTTTACTAAAACTTGGTATTTGTCAGTCTTTTTAATTTTAAGTCTATTAAGGTGTATAGGTAATTGCTTTCATTGTGGT